GTTCCTAAACCAGTCTTGTGGTTTCTTAGTATCTGGAGCAAAACATGCTGTCAAAATACTTTGCATTTGGTACATATCGTCTTTGACCGAACGAATGAGACGGAGTTGTTTGTTAAACTGTATGTACTCGTATTCTTCATTTATAGCTTCATGGACTATAACTGTTGTTGTGTTCTCTGTTGTTGACATATCTGTCTTTATATTCCGGATAAAAAAATATTTTATAAAAAACTAACTTTATTTTTTCTATCTTAAGGAAATTCATGATTTTTGTTGCTGAATTCAGCAAAAATATATTTTAGGTGAAGTGGTGAGATCTCACCTGTTTTCTCACCTGTTTTCTCACCTCATGAATTTTCATGATTTCATCGTACATGTTTTGTCAAGACTTCTTCGTACATGTTTTGTCAAGACTTCTTCGTAAATGTTTTGTCAAACATGAACGTACATGTTTTGTCAAGACTTCTTCGTACATGTTTTGTCAAGACTTCTTCGTACATGTTTTGTCAAGACTTCTTCGTACATGTTTTGTCAAGACTTCTTCGTACATGTTTTGTCAAGACTTCTTCGTACATGTTTTGTCAAGACTTCTTCGTAATGAGCGTAAATCAGACAAAAATAATGTTTAGGTGAAGTGGTGAGATCTCACCTGTTTTCTCACCTCTTTTCTACCCTCATGAATTTTCATGATTTCATCGTACATGTTTTGTCAAAACTTCTTCGTACATGTTTTGTCAAAACTTCTTCGTAAATGTTTTGTCAAGACTTCTTCATCGTAATGAGCGTAAATCAGACAAAAATAATGTTTAGGGTAGAAGGTTAGATCTAACCTGTTTTCTAACCTCTTTTCTACCCCAGTTATTTTATAAGCGTTTTACATGGTAAACGTTATGAATTCGTGAGACTTTAAACAGTTTTGTAGCTTCTATTTCTTCTTTTAGTACATCGAATGTTTTAACTATGCCGAAAGTCTCTTTATACTTCTTCTTGACGTCAGATAGAAGGAAATCGTCAGCAGTTGGATAGTTTTTGTTCAGAAATTCTAACATGTCCATTTTATTTTCTACCGGCTTCTCTGCTTCTTTCTTTAAGTCTGCATAGTCGTTTCTCATTCTTTCTATCTCTTTGACGGAGTAGTTATATTTCCTAATTGCCGCTTTACATTTTGAACATTGCGGGTTCATTTTTGCGTTATATTCTGAAACCTTACCTGCTAAAACAACTAAAGCGTCAATTGCTCTCTTCATCTCAAACATAGCGGGTCTTATTTGTTCGTTCCATATTTTACATCTTTTATCTTTATCTCTTATCTGCCATACACATTTTGCAACTAATGTAACAAAGTTGTCGTAGGTCTTAAACTCCACCGATTTATATATGTCAGAAACATTCTTATATACCATGTCGCAATCTTTGTCCATAACTTTATGGTTGCAATGAAATCCTAGAAACTCATAGTTTACCTTTCGTATGAACTTCTTTATTTCTACTGAGTCGGTTGCTTTGACTTCTATTTCATCGAATTCAGGAATAGTGAGCTTTTGTTGTTGGATTTCAGGCAATTTGGGTAAATGGTCAATAATGTCCTGCATGTCATAAAGATACTGTTCATTTTCTTCATCCTGTGCGGTACAGTCTAAATTACTTGTTAAAAGTTCTTGCTTTATCTTCTGGATTTCTGTTTCAAAAGTATATGAAGAAGGAATGAAGCTTTTCATTTCTACTAACATTGACGTAGGATTCATAACTAACGAGTTTGGTGCTGTTGTTTGAATTGTTGTTGTGCCGATTGTTGAAATCATATCTTTTATACAAAATAAAAAAAATAAAAAAATAAAACTAACTTTATTTTTTCTATCTTAAGGAAATTCATGAAAATTCACGAGGGTAGAAAACAGGTTAGAAAACAGGTTAGATCTAACCTTCTACCCTAAATTATATTTTTGGGTCCTTTACACTCATTACGAAGAAGTCTTGACAAAACATTTACGAAGAAGTCTTGACAAAACATTTACGAAGAAGTCTTGACAAATTCAAGAGGTTAGAAAAGAGGGTAGAAAACAGGTTAGATCTAACCATCTACCCTAAATTATATTTTTGGGTCCTTTACGAAGAAGTCTTGACAAAACATTTACGAAGAAGTCATGAAAATTCAAGAGGTTAGAAAAGAGGGTAGAAAAGAGGTTAGATCTAACCTTCTACCCTAAACATTATTTTTCAATACTTTTTCAGCACTTTTCCGTAGTTATATATGAAAGACAATTCGAGATAAAAGTCATAGTACAATGGTATTATATGTTGCACACCATTTGTTGTGAACCAAACTTGAAAGTCAGAGAAACTGTTACTAGGTGGTTCGTAGAATTTAGAAGCAAAGTCATAAAAGTCCTTACCAATACATAGAAAACTATTGTTGCTTGAACTGAAACTTGCATGACACATAACATTTTGAGGGTCAAACACGTTTCTATAAACTGTCAAATCTGCTGGTGGAAGTATAAATTTAAATGGACCATCTGGTGGTAATGGTTCGTTCTGGTTTAGTAACCGAAGAAATTGTGCCCAAGAACGTTTGTCTACTTCCCAAAATAAAAACTCTGTATCTCTTGGAGGGTTAATTTCAATCTTTTGAAATGAAACGGTGGAGTTCATCTTGTCATATTCTAGTTTCAGATAGTATGTTCCATTTAGTAAAGAGTCGTATTTTTCTTGAAATTCCCAATAATATTTGTTCATTTGAGTTTGAAAGTCATTTAGAGTTTTCTCAAGACTTTCGTCTGAACGAACTGTAAAGATTCTCATTTCGTCAAATTTGTCTATTAGACCATCAGAACCTTTATACTGCCCATGAAATATACTACGAACATAAATGCGTTAGTTCTATTTGAAAACAAAACTCTTCTAAATCCTATTGCCTTTGCATCTGAAGGACTTTGAAGCCAACGAATTGGATAGTCAAACCTGTATGTTCGGGATGAAATTTCTTCATCTGAAATAGTCCTACCAGCATTTGTAAAGATATAGTCTAACGGTTTTGTATCTGCTACTTTTGTTCTTTGTTTTTCAACCTGAAGCATTTAATATATGTAAAAATATATTGTTTTAAAATGGTATGCCATTTCATATTTCTCATCTAACAAACAAGTTTCCCAACGGTCTTCTCCAACAAACTCAGCGTACAGTTCAAATAAAATTTAAAAAATGTCACTTTTTTGAAAAACGTTTTTATTTCATGCAATGTTTTATTTCTGTGCCGTCTTCAAGTATGCCCCAGTACTTACGCTTGGAGAGGACATGAACTTCGGAAAATACCTTATCTAGCTTAAAACAGCCCATCTTCTCACCGACTAAACCCATTTCAATGAGTTTGTTGTACCCTTCTTCGTTCGTCATGAGTGCGTCAATGTTCTCATAGTAAACCACAACTTTCGATTTGACTTCGGAGAAGAATTTGTTGTAGTTGTCAAGGACTGCCTTTGCGAACTGAGGGTAAGACCAATGTTCGACAATAGGTTTTAATGTGGTTACTAAGCCACTTTGACCTTGAGTGAATTCGTACTTCAAAACAAAAGGAGAAAACCTTTCAACAAAGTTGTCGACCTTCTCATAATGTTTACTCTTCATCTCTTGAGGTTTCTTAATGGAATATCCCCATGTCGAATTCATAAGCAATTTGAGTGTCATTGCAAGTTTGGGGTTTGAAGCTTTCCTAATATCATACAGTTGTTGTATGACTTTTCCAACTGTATAGTTCCTTCCCGGGAACTCACCATCTTCGTTTGGAATTCCAGTCGGAATATATTGGACAAACCTCATGTATGCAGCGTTAAGGTCGACATAGTATATCTTTTCATCTGAGTCGAACTTGTCGCAACCAATTGGTCCAGTTTGTGGAAATTCAAGTGAGTCTCTTATCTTCTGAGAAACTTCTCCTGTTATCTCATAAACATCGTCGAAGCAACCTGTTTCATATAAAACCTTCTGACCTAACTCAGATGCTCTCCAATACAATTTGACGTCAATTGGATGTCTCAATGGAAGTTTGTTTATAGCATCTTGAAGTTCTTGCAACCTCATTGGAAGTTCTTCTGGTTCAGGTTGGTATCCGAACAATCCAACTCCTTGTAGAATTGTGTACTTCTTTTGTACTAGAACTTTGTCTGGAACAACTTTTGGTCTTGCTAACAGTGAAAAGTTTGTTTCGTCTTTTGGTACAAAAGTTTCTGTCAGCTTGTCATCTGGAATTGGTTCCAACAAACCTTTCTCGAAAAGAATGTTTACAGCTCTGACAATGTTGCACTTGCCTTTTCCGAACAATGGGTTTGTAAGACTTTCGTTCAACATGAAGTGGTTGTGGACAATTACAATCTTCAACCATGGTAAGTCTTTGTCAACAACATAGTCGTCATGTGAAGAACCTTTAGCTGTAGGTATGCTGACTCGGATATTGACATTTGCCAACGGTGCAATTTTTGCCAATTGACCTCTGAGAATGTACCTTGTCTTCACACATGACTCAAGATACTTCATCTTCTCATCTGTAACAAGACCAGAGTTCCTGAGACATGTAAGAATACAAGGTTCATTGACAATTGTTTCAATTGAATTGTAAATTCCATACCTTGTCAAGTCAATGTCAGACTTATTTATGAACGGAAAGTATCCAGCATGTTGTCTGACTGCTTGAGGGTTAGGTTGGTACCATTCGAACTTGACACTTGCAATTCCTTCAATTGCATTCAAAATGTCTGAGTCGGAGTCAACCATTTGTTCTCTCTTTGTAGTCTTGAAAGCGTCAAGAAGCATTGCAGCTGTTGTGACATTGCCATGTGCATAGTAAATGTGACCATCCAAATCTGTTATGGTCAATCTGAGATTGTATCCTTTCTTATTTCCATCTTGAATTGCAGCAAGTACTCCCATGAAGCCTTCTTTGTTCTTTCCTTCGTCAAAGTTTACTGTAAAGGTTCGACCAGAAGTAATTTGACTTCTAACTTCACGGTACTTCTCATATGCATATCTTGTTCTTTCCATGGGAGCATGACCATCCTCTGCACTACCTTTTTTCCTTCTCAAAGGATGCAATTGTTCGTCATGTTTCCAGTAGAATCTGGCAAAGCCGTCGTGTCCTTCAACTTGAGGTTCACTAACATCGAAAGGCATGTTCATAAGACGTTCTTCTTCTAACCTCTCTAGTCTGTTTGGATAATTTGCACGTGCTGTTTCCAAATCCATTTCGTAGCGAAGACCAGCCAGTTTGTCATAGACTTTTATGGGTCTTCCCTTCCTATATTTAAACTTCTTCGAAACTCTCCAACCATATCTTTGCAACTCTGCTTTTATTCTAGCAGATTTTCTATCCATTCTATATGGGGGCATTTTATAAAAATAAAAAAATATTTTTTTTCTTTACTTTACATAACCACCTGCTGCCATAAGTCTTTGACGCCAACCCATACCAGCTAATGAAGGTTGACTTGGTTTAGTTTCCAAACTAAACTTTGGTTTTGGTTTATCTTCAGTTTTTTTGGTTTTCTTCTTCTATCGGTTTTTCGTCACTTTTTCGGTTTCTCTGACTTTACTTCACTTGCAGGAACAGTTGTGTCGTCAACATCTTCATAAATATCATATGCCATTTGTTTTTGTTTTCCTTTCAACTTTTTGTGTTTGTTGTAAAGTTTAGAATATTTCGACTCTAAGTCAATGAGATGTTCTATAATGAACTGTTGGTCAGTGAAGTAAACTTTTCCATCTGTTGTCTCGAAAGCTCCTTCAGACTTCATATTTATTTGTGAGAGTCTGTTTCTTTTTTGAGATACTAGCCGTTCCATTTCTATGAAAAGTGACTTTGTAGTTAGGGTTTGTATTTCCAGACCTGGCACTTTCTATTATTGAATTTTTCTCTTCATCTGTAAGTTCTTTGACAGGTTTTGACAATGGTTCTGAACTTTTTGTTTGTGGTGTCAAATCTACCGTTTCAACTTCTTCGGTCATTTCATCTCAGTAAAAAATTTTAGTTTGGTTTGTTTTCAACTGGTTGTTTAGGTTTTTTAAGTCGGTCTAAAACTTCCTGAGGTATAGGAAGAACTTGACAAACACGTTGTGTAACTGCTGGAAGCCGACAAATCCATCTTGAACCCATTTGTCTCAATGCTGTATTGTTCATTTCATCTCAGTAAAAAACTTTACATTCCCAAGTTTGAGGTGGTTGCGGTTGGTTATTGTTTACCCACTGTTGTGCATGGTTATATCCTCTGTTAAAGAATCTTTCACCTTGGTCCATATAGTGTCCTGCTTGGTTATAGTAGTCATTTGCTTTGTTATAATAGTTTCCTGCTTGTCTTCCTACATTGTCCATCCATCCTTGAACTTTTCCTCTTGTTTCAGGATTTGGAATAAGATTTGCTGCATCTCGTGCTACATCCCAACCTTTCTGTACAGTTTGTATAATAGGTTGTGCTTTCTCTTTAAGTATACCTAATGTACTCAAAATCTTCCTTCCAACTCCAAATACACCTCTGGCTATTGTTCCCACTGCGGGTAAAAATCTAGATGCAACTCCTGCTAATGCGCCAAATAAACCCATTTCTTATGGGTTAAAAAATGACGAATCCAAACAAGGACCCCTATGTTTCTAAGGCAACAAAAAAAAGCACTCATGATAAAAATCTTTAGTTCAACACCAAATGCTTGGTTTATGGATATCTTGGAAAACATTCCGAGGTATAGAGAAGATGGACCACCATACTGGTTAATATTTGTTGGTCAAAACACACAAGATACTGTGAAGCCATACCATTATGGTCCAAAAATAATTTTAGATGTGAAAACTGCTTTGACAATATTCGTTGACAAATACCATCCAACAAAACTGACATCTGACTGTGAAAGTTCTTTCAAATCAGATGATGTAAAAAACTATCTGCGTTCAAAAAATGTAAACCAATATTTCATTGTCGACCAAAACCATTCTGCTCTTGGTGTCATTGACGGTTGTATAAAAATGTTAAGAGACTTAAACCAACCACAAGGTGGTGAAGCAAATGAAATGTCATATGACGACAAATATAGACACTTCTCCATGGCAAAGATGAGACAAGTTTTTAAAATATTTACAATAGCCGTAAACAAAAAGGTTTGGGAAACCACTCCCCCGAAGAAATGAAAAACAACCCTGACTTAGAGAAAGACTATATATTTAATAATTTAGTCAAAAGAGACAAACAAGAAAGAATGCCGGGCTTCAAACTTCAGAAAGGTGACAAAGTAAAAATAGAAATACCTAAACGCGACCCATATGAAAATACTATTGACTATGACAACAATGGGAACCCGATAGGTACTCACATTCGTGTTCGTAAAAATAGAAGAAAGTATACAAGAGAATATTATGAAGTTTTAGGCAAACATGGCAAAATGTACACACTGCAAGCAGAAGATAAAACTACTATTGTCAGACCTCGTTTCAAACTTGTCAAAGTTCAAGGTGGTATACTTTCAAAGACAGTTCCTAACAAATATAAGACAACTCCTGACGAATATGCTAAAGAAGTTGAAAATGACGACTAAGCATTTCTATACCATGCGTAAACTGTCATGTAAGGTGGCATGTATTCTTTACTTTGTCCCGTTGTTTGCGTATATCCTGTAACGCGATGTGTATGGTTTCCATCTCCCTGAGTGTTACCCCAGAAACAATTTATAGCAAACTGAACGTTGTCTTTAACATCATATCCTTTACCTTTTGTCATTGCTGACCAATCCCAAAATTTATGCTTATGCCAACCTGCTTGAGATGTACTTAAATCTATGTAGTGACTATGTGCAGGTAAATTTTCACCTGAAATCGTTTTACTTCCACCTGTTTCCTTTGAAGAGTTTGCACAATACAAAAACCTGTCGACTATTTGAGTCCAAGTTCCAAAACCAAGTACTACTTCTGGTCTGGTAGAGTTCATTGACGTATAAATAGAGCCTATAGGATATAATGTTTGAAGCATTTCTGTCTTTAATGTTTGAAGCTCTGTTTTGTCTGCTTTCTTGTCATATAAATCTTGAGCAGTGAATTTAATATTATGTTCATCCTTCATGACATAAACATCTTTACATCTAATGTTTCTCATCGTCGTTATGTCGTCATCCGATGTTAAACCTTGTGGAAAGTTAGGAGGTTTACAATATAATACATCCCCACCAGTTTCTTCAACCGTTCCTTCAATACTTTCTATAGCAACAGTTGTAAAACTTGTATGTGTATGGTTCTTGTCTGCTTTCTTCTCTAACTCATCGTTAACATAAAGTTTTATCTGCTTTAAGGTCTAAACATCCTGAAACCCATCCTGTATCGGCTTAGTTTTTAAAATCTTTGATGTCCGTTCATGGTACCAGTCAACCCTTTCTATAATTTCTTTATCTTTTTCATCCACATATTCCTTATCCGCCTTCTTCACTAACACACTAGCCATAAGTCCCTTATCTACCTTATTTTCAAGGCTAACGTTTAAGTCTGTTATTTCAGATATAGAATGTGTATGAGTCTTTTTAGAATATTCGTTTTCAGCTCTTGTCACTTCACTTGACATTTTATTGTCAACATATGTTTTGTCTGCTAGTTCAGGATGAGTATGTTCTTTTGTTGCATAAGCATTGTTAGCTCTTTCTTCTTCTTTTGCTATTGCATCGTCTACATATTCTTTGTCAGCTTTGTTGTCAACATCTGCTTTTCAAAAGAAGTTCATTTATAGGTTTCTCGTTTAAAGTTCCTTTTGTTGGATTTATACAGACAGTATTGTTCTTCTTGTCTTGAAATAGAAACTCATCTGTCATTGGGTTTAATGTCAGTTTTAAGTTTCCTTCTTTCAATGACTCAGATATCTTAGAATAGTTTGAAAAGTTTGTTGTGTTCTTATTTAGAGCTTGCATAATGAGTTGTCGGTTGTGTTGTATTTCTCTCATGGAAGCAATATCTTTCGACATTTTTATTCTAGATAAAATATGCTTCAATAGAAAAAGAAAATTCAAGAGTTGCTACAACTAAACCATTAGATGAACTTTTTACTAATGTCGGTCAAAAGTTTGAGACAGAGACCGTAAAGCATGAAGGCTATCGTTTTGACTACCCATTAAGATGGCTAAGAGAACCATCTGTCACAAAAAGCTATTGGCTTTCGTAGAATGAAGTTCATTTCAGAAGCCATACATGGTTCCCATTTACGGTCGGTTTTGAAGTTCGATACTATAACAAAGAAAAACGTATGTATGAGAAATTTGAACAGGGAAAACTTTTACAAAGTTAGTTTGCTTGTAAACTTAAAACAACTCTTCAAGCTTTTCAAAAAAATAAAACGATACTATATCGAATATGCAAAACAGTATAACATTGACGAGGGAGAATACCATCTCGATATTATTTATGACAGGAAAAAATGCAACTGTTAAAATCAATAGAATAGAAGACCTTGGAGAAAACGTTATATTTCTACAAAATATAACAACTTGGCATGGTATAGATTTATGAGGATGTTAAATCAGCCTGCAGCATATCCAGTACACCCAGACTTTTATGAAGTCGAAAACCCTAATGGAACATATGAAAATGTTTTCGACCAGATGCTATTATTGTTCATGCTTCATTTTCTGGCGCCCAAAACTCTTTCTTATGCTTGGCAAATGACTTTTACGAAAAACCTACAAAGTTATACGAACCACCAAGTGGAAGTATTTCAGACTTTCAAGTATGGTTTACTACAGATGGAAGAAAAAGAATAATTCCATTATACCATGCGTTTTACTTAGAACTTAGTTTCATATACAACTACTATCGAACGGTAAAAATATAATTTTTTAATACGGTTGAGGTGTTGGATTTGGTTGCCAACTAGACTGTGGTGCAGGTTCAGGCTGTTGTATAACAGGAGCTTGTTTTTCTGGTTCAGGGTCTTTAGGTATAATACCAACAAACTGACCTACTCTTTTACCAATATTTTTGACTCCGTTCCAAATTCCTCTTCCTACGGTTTTTATTCCATTCCATATACCTCTTCCAACTCTTCTGAAGAAGTTTCCAATACTACTGAAGAAACCCATTTTACTATATGTAAAAATCTAATGTCCGCCTAGTCTCTTACGTTTCCTGTTGAGTTCCATAGCATTCTTTAACTGGAGCTCATACATTCTGTTTCTCCTCTGGTAGAAAACATATTCTGGGTCAACTCCTGTGTTCGCGTCATCTGCATAAAGTTGTTTATATCCCACTTCAGGGTTTGTATAAAACTCTTTCCATCTCATATTTGCATACCATGGTGGCAAACCTAACGCAGCGTCATTTGACATGGCAGTTTGCATTTGTACATCTGTTGGCACTT